AATCTTTCCTACTTTCATAGAGGTTTACATCGGTATGTTTAATAATATCTACTCGATATAAAGCAATAATTATAAATAATTATTTTGACTTAAACTCTTAACAAAGTGAATTTAGAAAAAACATGTCGGTTTAAGAAAGTTTTTTTATGAATATATGCAATCACCCAGAATAAAAAGTTTTATCAAAATTAAACTTTTTCAGGTTTATGGGACGTTTTCAAAAAAAAGCAAAAAAAAAAATTTCTGAGACACCTAGGCTTAGTACGTCAATATAATTCACCAAAACCATACTGCAGTCCTTCAATTATCATACAGGGAAATTTTCATCTTTCTAAACATCCCAGGGAAAGATTTTACAGATTTTTTTTTATCAAATTTTGCCAATGAATAAAAAATACCAACATTTTTCTTTGGTGCTTCGCGCATCATTTCTAATTGAATGTCTAACTATGTTTTCGTTTTGCTTAAAGAAAGTCAGTCATTCTTAATTTACCCTCTCTAAAAAGCATGTATATATATGTTATTTCTCATGAATATTACAATTTATATACAGGGTGTCCCGAAAAACCGGGGAATTCAGTGACGAATTGGATATCGTCTTTGTTATGAATTAGCATTGTAATACCTAATTTCAAAAGCCATGATATTATTATGTCTGCTAGAGTTTATTTTATGAAAAGGGTAAGAGACTGTAAAGATGTGTCTATAATGTCTCCGCAAGATGAACAGTGTAGTCGGACAAGTTTACTCCATTTGTATTTTGCGCTTCTTGTTTTACAACCATATGCAGTCAAAACATAAACAAACAAAATGTGAATATAGCAGACGCAACTCTTACAGATTACAGCTTTCTCAGTAGGTATCACTATACTAAATCAAAGAATTATTTAAAAAGACGAAATCGAATTCGTCACTGAATTCCCATGTTTATTGGGACACCCTGTACCATTTTTCAGGTTACACTAAACCCGGCAACCCAAGAAGAATAACAAGAAATATAATAAGGATTATTTCAGACTAAATTATGGACTTTTGCAGACTATAAGATGAACTAAATAGAGTTTCAAAATATAAGGAAACATCTCAGATATTTTAGGAAACGTCTCAAAATAAAGAGGAAATCCTCAAAACCTGGGTTTTAAGGGATTTCCGTATTTCTCACAGAAATCTCGGAAACAACTCAAAAAAATGACTACTGAGGGGTTTCCGCTTTTTATTTTAGGAATTTCCGTGGTGAGACGTTCCCGTTTCCGAGGGGGAGCGGGGACTTAGCCACCGTTGGGGGCTGGAACCCCCCTGAAAATCAAAGCCTCCACTTTTCCAGGGGGAGGGGGCTGAGCCCCCATAGCCAACCCCGAATGCGATTCTGTATATACAGGGTGTCCCACGAAAAAAATGAAAGTTGGTAAATAGATTAGAATGGTTTCTTCCATAATTTGTTAAGTTGTTTAATACCAAAGACAAAAATGAAAATATTATATAGGAGTCATATTATAGTAAAATTAACTTCAAGTAAAATATATTTGAGCAAAAGATTTTTTAAACGAAGTAAACTGCAAATAGCCATTAATATCTAACACAGTGTATGGAAGACGACATTCGAAAATATTTACCAACTGTAAAGTTTCGTGGGACAACCTGTAGTAGAGTGTATCGGAAAACTAGAGGGATCATAAGGTACAGAAATCCTCCGTAGAAATAGTATAGATTTTCCTGACGCCAGCATAGTGCATATAGTTCGAATCGGACCGGGGTTTCTCTCAACTGGCAGGAAGTGTGGAGAGATGAAGACCGGGGTTTCTCTTAAATGTTTCCTTTGGCATAAGATAATAGTATTCTCTTATGTAAACTTATCGTTTCCTCACAGGTGGGTTGAGGCTGCTGTGTGACGTCAGAGTTTGTCCGACCAGATCCTCGCGAAATGCTTGATATTATCATTTTAAAACAAAATACACAGGAATTGAGTTTTTTTCACAAACTCTAATTTTCAAATCCCTATATCTTTACATGTTTCAAACTAAGATTAGATGATCTAACAGAATTCTATAGTTTGAAATATTTAAGGTCTTCAAGATTGGTTTGTAAAGATAAAGGTATTAGAAAATTAGAGTTTGTGGCAAAGACTCAATTCCTATAAATAAAATTTTCTGTCATTGTACATATATAACAAGAAGAAACGACGAAGCTTGCGCCTAAAAGTAGCGAAGTTTTCATAAAAGCCCGACCCCAGATACTTTTTGATTATTTTCAGCAAATAGAACGCTGAATGTTCAAATTAAAAATTAAAACTTAAAAACAATTAAATTATAAACCATTTTCAGGAATTACAAAATGAACGTTTTGTTCGTATTCTATGTTTAACTTCTTTAAAAACTTTTAAAAAGTTTTATTAATCACAGATAAAGATGTGACAAAGCTTGGCTTTTATTTCAAAAACTTTTAAGGTTTTTGAACTTTTGAGAGTTTTCAAAAAATCTGAAAAGTTTTATAAACAAATAATTCCTTTTCTTACACTTTGCCAAATTTTGACCTTAAATGAAAACTTACCAAAACTTACAGAATACATTTTTGAAATGTTAATTAGAGGTTCACATATATTTGTGGTGCATTATAACGGTCTAAAAACCTCAAAAATAAACTAAGTCATGTCATCACTAGTCTTATGTAAAGATTTAATAGTTTCATTATTTTTGCAAATTTTTTTCTGCAAATGCATTTAATTGATTCACTTCCAAAAATCTGATAAAGAAAATTGCAAAATTATAATTATTAAAAGGAAATCATTCAATTAAAAGAAACGGGAAAAGACTCCAGCTTTGAACAAAAATTGTGAGGGAAAAAACCTTGTAAAGAAATCTGTGGTGCATGTTTATTATCGTAGATTTATTTTCTTGTAATAATTTTAGTTTTAGTATATACGGAAACTGTTCACCCCATTTAGTTTAATACAATATTTTTATACATCTTAAGCGATGCTTAAACATTGTAATTATTATATTACATAAATGTTTATGAAAACCTTCTAAAATTAATTATTTTTGGGCGGAAAACGAAAAAAAATTCTCATCATTTGTCGTCTTCCTTTCAAATTGTCTAACCATGAATATTTATTCGAGACATGAATAGTACGTTTAAATTTGTTCAACAAGTGTTTTATCAGTCTAACATTAAGTGTTGAAACGGATAAATTCATGATGTACTTAAAGTTAGTGTAAAATCTGCATAAAAATTCGCATAAATTTGTGCAACATTTTTGCATTTTTTTTCTTAATTGACTCATATAACGTGAGTTGCCTAACAAATAACAATTTTAATTATAGGAACACTTGCGCATGTCTATTGCAGGAAAACATGTAAGAATTATTAGAAGAAATTATAAGATAATAGGTTCAATGGTTGAATCGGGCAGGCATTGTCATCTTTGCACGAAGGATCACTTAAAATTAGCTTACATGTCCTTTAAGGCTGGAATCCATGATGTTGAGTTTGACAAATCCTGACATATCTGACAGTAACTCTACATATATATCTAGAATATCTCAGGTATAGTTCCCTGAGATGCAGGATAATATATGTCAGATAGGTCCCTGCAGATGCAGGAGAAAAAATCTCAGATAGGTCCTTGGGCTTTATCGGTTCAGCTGTGTTAACGTTTATATTGGATACAAACGGACAAACAAACAGACGAGCAAAGTATATAAATAGAGTGACAACCCAAAAACTCCTGAGTAGGAGGACGACTTTTAGACTAAAGTTATGACTAAAGTTAAATAGTTCAATGAACTGGAGAAACGGTAATTGTGAAGTGATACAGACAAATAAAAATATAATTTAAAAAGTGATTTTGTTTTGTAACAGCATCAAATAGAATTAAGGATGGCTATATGTGTCGTCTTCCTTTTCCGCAGTTTTCTGTAGATGAAATTATTTTGAAAATTTATATTTCATGATAATTCACAGTGGTAACTTTAACTACAGTTAAATCAGGCGCACATTCTATATTATCTAGATACTGGTTTTATCTCTTACATAAGTTTAAGATATTTCAAACATTCTTCCGAAACCTTTTTCCGCAAAATTCCGGAACGATTTTTCCGTAAACCGGAATTTTCTGGAACAATTTTCCAAAACGTTCCGGAATTACGGAACAGGATTCCGAAAATTTCCGGTTTACAAATAAAAAAGTTGTTCCGGAATTGATCCGGAATTTCGGAATTACGGAACCTTTTCCATAATGGCCAATGGAAAAATTTCCGGATCATTTCCGATGGAAACCCTTTGTATTGTGTACCTTTAAAGTTTCTTATATACCTGATATCCAAGAAGCTTCTTGGATATCAGGCTTAAATATAAGATACTTTAAAGCCAATTATGTTTGAATTTACAGTTCAAATTTTTTGCGCTTTGCGAAATTTTGCCCCCCCCCCAGATTTATTTCTGCAGTATACACCCTTGAGGGGGGTGCAGACTGCAGGCTTGCAGCTTACACCCTTCCCTGGACCCTGGATCCGAGCTATAGTTCTTTTAGATATTCCTTTCCCTCCTTCAAATATATAAAACCGCTTTGTACTTTGCATGATCGTAGTATTCAGCAAAAATCTGAAGAAAAAAACTTGATTTTTGAAACATGCAAACCAGAAATATCCAGAACTGACCGGGGTTTTTACAACTTTTCACTGAACGTGTGTGTTTACTATCTATTGCTGTATAAAATTCTTTTTGACCGGGGTTTTTCTAAAAATGAAAAGACCGGGGTTTCTATTGACTGTTTCAACTGAACCCGTGTGTAATATTTACGAAAGTGGTAATAAAAAAAAATATTTTTTAGCTAAATAAAAATTATGGAATGGGTTTTTTAAAAACTTTAGAAAATAATTTCTAAAAAAATGACTCTACAAAAATGTTATAATAAGTGACACCCCTTTGTACTCGAGAATATTTTGCACTAAGACCGGGGTTTTTCTCTCTATTCTGGAAGTGTGTAGGTCAGGAAAATGCAGTCAAATACTATTCAGTTCGCAATAATCTTCACAGCGAGTAGCACACAACAAGCAAAGAAATATAACTTTATAGTTAATCATGCCGTTAGGAAATTTTGACCTTGTCGCCAAGATAAAAGAAGAACTTCACTTTTTAGAAAATAGGTAAGTAATATATATATAAATGTTTATTACAATTAAAATAAATCAATCTTTAGACAAATGAACATTTTATTTAAAGTAATTATTAATTTTTTATTATTTTCAGGTTTTCTACTAAGCAAGATGATGGTATCAGTAGTCAAGTAATCGTCGCAGATGAGCTGAGGAGTAGGTTTCCATGTTCAAAGTGTGACAAAGAATTCCCCACCTCCTCTCGTTTAGTGAAACACATGAAATCTCATAGTGGAGAGAAACCGTTCTCCTGTCCAGTTTGCAGAAAGGGATTCTCAGCTAGAGAAAACCTTCTCGTTCATCAAAGAATCCACACGGAGGATCGTCCCTACCAGTGTACAATCTGTGAACGATCATTCGAGCATTCTGGGAAACTTCACAGACACATGAGAACCCACACCGGGGAGCGCCCTCACAAATGTGCTAAGTGCAACAAAACCTTTATCCAGAGCGGTCAGCTCGTTATCCACCTGAGAACACACACCGGAGAGAAACCATACGTCTGCCACAGTTGTAAGAAAGGGTTCACCTGCTCCAAGCAGCTCAAGGTACACTCCAGAACACACACCGGAGAGAAACCATACCGTTGCGACTTTTGTGGAAAAAGTTTTGGTTACAATCATGTTTTGAAACTGCACCAGGTTCAACACTACGGGTGCAGGGTGTATAAATGCACTATCTGTAGCTTAACCTTTAACAACAAGAAGGAGATGGAGATGCACATCATCACCCATGATGACCAGGATCTAATCCGACCCAGTAGCACAGGATCAAGAACTAGTTATGTTTCCTCAGAGAAGGAGAATTCTCCGATCCTGCAGAGATCCTTGAATCCGCTTAAATTCCTTCCGTTTAACCAACTTCTCTCTTCTCCTTCTGTTTCCCCTGAACCTTCTCTACCCTGCCTTCTTCCTTCCATTAATACAATATGTATGGATCTACCAATGATGAAACCATCTCCTTCCCAACCTTCTAGAGCATCTATTATTAGAGCAAACCCTCTCTACCCTGTCACAATGGATGTCCTGAAGCCTATTCTTGAAGAAGATTACCAGAGGTTTGGGAAACTCCCGGTTCTTAGATCTCCTTCTTTCAGTGCATTATTGAACCCTGGAGTAGAAATCAGTGAAACCATGGACACGGAGACACCTCTCAACCTAACCGTCACAGCTACGATCACATCTCCGCCACCCACTCCAACCCCAACCATTTCCCCCCCTCCCCCATCATTCGCCAGTATGGAAGAGAGCAGTCTTCCGCCCAGGAAGCGTCGATTAGTTTCTCCAGGTCTAGATACAGCTCGTGGTTCAGTTATACAGTTCGCCATTCGAAGCTAAACTAGTTCTTTTATTTGTATCTTGTATTAAACCGAAAATTACCTCATTTTAATTATTATTTATTGTTAGTGTAATAAATTTAAAACTGTAACTTTGTTATCTTTGCCAGTTGTGCAATTTATCGTCTGTGTTTGCAATTTTGCAAACTTGTCCTGACTGTGGTTAGTGCAATTTCAAGAGTTAAAAAAAACACTTCTTCTAAGCTTCAGGAAGTTCAGGAAATAAAATCATCAAAATTTTGAGAAATTAGAAAACAGAATTAAGAAGCAAGATTATTTTAAATGTTGATCAAGATACTGAGCATGAAAATCAGTGAAGATAATGGGAATGAATAATAATCTAAAAAGAATGGGACTAAAATATAGAAAAGTTAGTAAGAATGGGACTAAAATATAGAAAAGTTAGTAAGAATGGGACTAAAATATAGATAAGTTAGTAAGAATGGGACTAAAATATAGAAAAGTTAGTAAGAATGGGACTAAAATATAGATAAGTTAGTAAGAATGGGACTAAAATATAGAAAAGTTAGTAAGAATGGGACTAAAATATAGAAAAGTTAGTAAGAATGGGACTAAAATATAGAAAAGTTAGTAAGAATGGGACTAAAATATAGATAAGTTAGTAAGAACGATCATGGAATGAAACCTATTACGTTGGTGAGAATGGTAATCAGTAAAAATATTGGGAATACATTTCACTTCAGTTAGAATGTGATGAGAATGAAGATCAGTTTAGAAAGTGGGATTGAAAAATGTTAACCCTAAACAGGCTCAAGTTTTTTATATCTTAGCACTCTCAGTTTTGACACTAGATCACCGTGAAACTTTGTGACTTTTAATGAATAGAAATTTTAAGTATTTTTTTAATTCATAGGGGTACAGGGCGATAAAAAGTCCGGTCTGTTTAAAAAAAATTAAAATAGTCCATAGTTAGGGTTTCCAATCGGAATTCCGTTGCGCGGAATTGCACGCAATATGTTTGCTTCCGCTACTGTCATTTCATTGCTAGGAATTGCACTATAATTGCCAACAAGGAAGCATTTAAATATTCGCGGAATTTCATGGAATTGCGCAGAGTTGCATTGCAAAGGTTTTTCCATAAAAAAAATCGATAATTTTGAACTGTGACTTTCAAAGTTTTGCAGCAGATACAAAAATGGAAATGGATAGAAGTTATATCTGTAGATTTTAAAATAATCTAGGGTCATTTAAATGTAATTTTTCAATATTTTTAAAATTTTTAAGTTTCTTGTGCAGGTTAAGCTACTAATTATCAATTTAATATGATACATTTTTTGGTTAAAATTGTAAGATTCATTTAACCAAAATTATATATTTTGCTACAATGAGAACCAGAAAACTATAGTATAGGGAGACATCATTACATATTACTATTAGATGTCGTTACAAAGAAAAACAATTAATTAGTAACTTATCCAATCACTTATTCAGTAAAGCAGAACCAGAGTTTAAAAGTCGAGTCTTCCTATGCCAGAGTTTTCTGGTTATCATGCTGTATATGAATATTATAAAATAAAAAATTAAAGGGACAGTAAAGGAAAAATTTAAGGGGGTATAGGCTGAAAGCTAATCACTTTAGCTCTTGATCTCGACCCATGAAAGTTTTATCTGATGTTCCTGTCTCAAGAAATTGATATAAAACTGTGTCAAATCTATACGAAAATTAATATATATATACAATTTTGTATAAAAGTAGTAGGTTTAAACAGATCATATTCGCAAATAAGCAACCAATCTGAAAACGATAATATCCCAGAGAAAGCTAATTGTAATTTAGGTTTACTTTTATATTTGTTGTTTCTATTTTCAATAGATTTCATTCATAATATTATTTTTACGTCCGTATTACTTGACCAGAAATTCCACCAATGGCAGTGCAGTAAAGTGGTCACGTGATACAGGCGGAGACAGTTGACCAGTATACTGCTCTGCCATTGGTGATAGTTCTGGTCACGTGATTTAAGTTTCAGATTTTCAAAATTTTGCATAAATGAATTTTCGTATAATTTTAACACAGTTTTATATCAGTTTCTCGAGACAGGAACATCAGATATGACTTTCATGGGTCGCGATCAAGAGCTAACGTGATTAGCTTTCAGCCTATACCCCCTTTCATTTTTCCTTTACTGTCCCTTTAAGTTTGAATTCAATTTTCTGAGCATGTGAGATTGAAATGTTAGTGAAGTTCAGTTTATTGTATGCCACCAAAGTTTAAATTGATTTTTTATCTCAATGTTGTTGATAGAAAATGCACAATAATTTAAGTTTCATTTATTGGGTTTAAGTTTAATATTCTCAAAACGTTGAAAGCAAGCAAGTTGGACGGAATTTTGCACAATTGTTACGGAATTGCGTGCAAGGCTCTCAATTGCGCTCAAGTAAAATCCCCTTGAATTGCGTTGGAAACCCTACCCATAACTTTTTTGTGACTAAAGCTATAGATCTTAAAACTATGTTTATGAAAAGCCCTTGAAAAAGAAATGTAGAAACATGTGTAACAATTTGATTTTTGTTGAAAACAAAATAAATACTTTTTACATTTGTGGGATCCAATTTTTAAATATCTTTTACAGAACATATCATTTAGATTAAACATTCGGGGCTCGGGCGTTGGACGATCGCTAAATTCCACGTGCAAGGTTCTGGGCATTTAAGACTTGTCTATATACATATATGCATATAAGTTTACTTTATGAATTAACAAACTTCAGTTACACAATATTTTAATTGTATAAGAGTTTATTATTATCAAGTGTAACATAATGCCATGTTTGTAATAAAGGTAATATTTTCCTATGTTTGTGTGTACTCCATGTTTACTTTGCATTGTACAGTAAGTAATATAATAATACAACATGGCCATCGTTAAAGTACAATGTACGCAGCCAACAATATTACATTTTTGTCCATACACATGTTCATGTACATAGCCTTTCATTCATACTCATGTTCATGTACAGTGTACATTACCTACATTCATAAACTATAGTTCACGTACATGAACTACAATAGTACATATTAATGCATTCACATTTTCATGTATGAATATAACCTATGTGGTGCACATGTACATTACAATATTACAATTTTGAAAAATTGAGTCAGGGATTTTTTTCTAAAGGTTTATTTTGGTTGGTTGGTAATATTTGTGTATACGGTTATGTTCTGTTCAGTTGTTGCAATGCATAATGTACACTTTACAGTACACGTTGTGCAGCTTACATTGCACGATGTGCTGTTTACAATTACATTGGAATATGTACACCACAGACTAGATATATATAGACTACTAATCAATTTTTACGGGCTGGGCTAATTCATGGCATATAGTTTTACCGGCACAACATGCTATATCCTTACGAAAGATGTTGACTGCCATCTAACCGCCACCTGTTGCATATAATACCCATTCAGGGGTTAAGTCTTACAATTTACATAGAAATACTCCAAAGGATCCTTACATAACCCTGAATATAGATGTCTACTAATTAGATGCACCCCAGTTGTACACAATGAAACCTGTTGTAGAAAATATCGCATATTCTATCCTTTAATGGATCTCTGTATTCTCTTAATGGTCGTGTACTCCAGTTGTACACAATGAAACCTGTTGTAGAAAATATCGCATATTCTAGTCTTTAATAGATCTCTGTATTCTCTTAATGGTCGTGTACTCCAGTTGTACACAATGAAACCTGTTGTAGAAAATATCGCATATTCTATCCTTTAATAGATCTCTGTATTCTCTTATCTCTGATGTACAATACATAGTGTTGTATTATATGAAGGGTGGGGGGATTTTACATTGCAGGGGAATGAAGCAAGGGGAATTTTAATGTAAGTTTATACCTAGCTGTGGGATGTAGGGTGGATGGGGAGGGGGGGGGGGCTGAAATTGATCAAACCTAGTATAAACCATGGTGTATAAACTATCTATCAGTACAACAGAGCAGTGAGTACTTCAATATCGAGATATCCAGAGAATAATCGTAAAAAATATCACATAATGTCTAACAGGTGATAAAAGCAATTTATTATGTTTTCATCACCATCTTATAGTTTTTTTGAAAGATGATTTTCAAAATCTTTTTTTTAGCAACACATTGAATTTTAAACGGGCTAAGAAATAAAAATTCAAAAGTCCGATTGTTTTCAGAAAGATTTGATAGTACAAATATTTGTAATCTATATAGACGTATATTTGTTTTGCAAATATTCCCTATTTCCAAATAGAAACTTTTAAATTATAGCCTTGCAAATTTTGTTTATTAATAATAAATTTCTGTGAATTAAACATTAAATTTATGACAACTTCTATCTAAAACATGTTATTAAATAATTCTAGTGCAATTTTATAAACTTTTAATCAAATAATTTTTTTTACAAAAATTACGATTTCTACAAATTAATATCATTTTTTGAGACGAATGGTGAAATATTATAGAAAAATACTAAACCTTACAAAATAAATATAGTTATATAAGTCAAAGTCAGAATTTTGCATAGCCTTGCACAACCCTGGCACAGTGCAAACAGAGTTTGCAGTTGAAGCTTTTTACAGACGCTGGCTCTCTGAACGCAAAACAGGATTATATAACTATACATGCTAAATGCAAAAACTCAGATTGCAGTATCTGTGTAAAGTAGGGACTCGAACGAAAATGGCGTTGAACTAAATTCGCGATGTATTTTCGACGACAGTTTTTTCCATTTGGCCAAAATATATTGTAAATATTGTCTACGATTTTGAACTAAATTCCAAACCTCTTAATATTTTACCAAAGATTAGGTCCGAATTTCGCGAAAATGATTTTTCAAAAATTTTCAAGAAAAAATTCAAATTTCGTTCCGATTTTAAATTTGGAAGCCCCAGTGTAAAGGTTTCATTTTATACGAACATTAAAAAGTTCCATACAACAATTTGGCTTTTATGCTTCCATAGAATATTTAAGATTTGTAAAGCATCCAAAATTGAGACAATATATCTCTGTCTTTGGGCTCATACATTTTGTACGTCCTTTCCTAAGTACAAACCTACTATTCGTACTGTGTACCTACTATTTGTACTGTA